ATAATAATAATAATAATAATAATAATAATAATAATAATAATAAGTGTTCACTTTGGTGCCAATACACAACTGGCCACTTTCCTAAAGTCTTGAGTTAGCTGTAGAAGAGATGCTTCACCTAATCCTACTCACCCCGTGTCCCCAGATTTTCCCTGGGCCAGAGATGTCCAGAAATAAGAGTCCAGCTGCAGGAAAACACCCCCAGAGACTACAGCAGGCACCGAGCAGTCTAGACACCCTTTCTTCCTGCTTGCTCTTCCTACACATTTTCTCTTAGCCAGGAATTCACATCACCTTAGCTTGATGAAGTAACAGAGTTCCACCCTAAGACTTGGCCCCAAAGGGAAATAAGCCATTTTTAAAAGCACTCCCTCCTCCTCCTCCTCTCTTCTCTTTCTCCTTGATCACTGGCTTGCCAAATATACCTATCAGTTATTTTGCACAGCAAAGTTAGCAGGGCAGTTCTGGTGGTAGTATGAACGAGAGCTTTCATTAAATTAATCAGTAAATTAATGCTTTACTTGAGTAATCAGCAGAGGACAATTGCAGCTGGTAAAAGGATGCAACCTAATAGCCTGCTTATTTATTTTCGAGACTGCTGTTGCTGACGCTTTAGTGCAGTAGGAAATGAAAAAGAAAATATTAAAAGTGCTCCTAACCATGTGTGGTAGCCTTTGTTTAATTATAAGTTATCTAGCAGTACAATGCAATGCATGATTACTCAGAAGCAAATGCTATAATGTCCAGTGTAGTTTACTCCCATGAAAGTAGGCATATGACTGCAACCTCAGATTGCCTACAATATCTCAAAAAGGAATCTGTATTCAAGCCTTGGTAAGATGCAAATATATTTAAAGTTGTTTAAGAAAAGGTAGATGTGTAATTAGCCAGACAGTCCGTTGTATTATTATACAATGGCCACATTTATGGACCATAGATGAGCAGTGAAATCATATACAAATCTACTGAAACATAAGTCTCTTTGAATTTACTGACTCTGGGAAATTGGGTAAAGTCCAATTGGCAGTTCCCTGTTGGCGTAACCCTCCCTATCATATAAAAACGTGCCTTATTATTTAATCTTACAGAGAATCGCCTGTTGAATCATTCCCATCATTCCAAAGGTGCAAAATTTCACATATGCCACAGACATGCCAAAAATCAATAAACAAAACCTCCTTTTTTGCACCACTTACATCACAGCTGGTATTTTGCACAAGTCACCTCCCTTCTGGATCTCAAACATTAACACGTTTCTTCTTAGCCACCTTCTGGGAATATGATGAGCTACTTCTGTGCAGCAGTCATAGAGGATGGGAAACATAGCTAGGAGAAATAGAAAAAAATACCATCTTTTAAGCCTGTAATCCTATGCCCATTTATCTTTCTGGGAGGAAGCCTTACTGGACTTCTGAAGGTTCAGAAGGAAGTAAACTTCTGTAAGTAAGCAAGTAAGTAAACCATGTATAGGTCTGTGTTGCAACTTTCAGGATTTCTCAAACCTTGAATTGTCCACCACAAACGCAAGATCTCTTTGTTCGTCAATCACCATTAATACTTGATGTTGGAGTTTTTACAGGCCTGTATATTTGTAGTGTTTGAAAGCTGGACTATGAAGGAATCTCTGGTTTTGTCGTGAGCTCCTTGGGTGGTCTTTATGAAAGCCACCCTCTCTCTGGCAGGGGGTGATAGGAGTTGTAGTCCAAAAGATTCCAACCAGTTTAGAGAAGGCTGTTTCCTACAACTGCTTAGTACAAAAACAGTTGGCTATTCACAACACGAGTTTGTAATTATAAATCTCATCAAGCTAATTAAGCCCTTACTACCTCCAGTCCTGTAGAGAATTTTGTCCTTTGTTGCATTCTGACATTTGCAGGATGCCCACCCCTGCACTTTTAGTCATGGCATAGCTCTATTTTTCATAGTAGTTGTTCAGATTTATTTGGTCACGTGCATATTTTAGTTAGGGCTGAAATTTGAATTCAGCTTCAAAATCCATTCAGTTAATTAGACCTGAACTTAATCCTTTATTCATATTTCTTATAATTCTGTTGCTAATTATTCCGTTTCAGCATAACCCTATGTGCAGCATAACCCTATGGCACTTATTAAAAATAAGTCCCATTGTGTTCCAAGATGTTCATGGAGAAATAAATCCCAGGTAAGGTGTGTACAGAGTTTTGCAGTCTTTATATAGACTTCAGTGTGAGGTTCTTACAATGTCAGTTGCTTCCACACTAGGCATTTGATGTAGAATCACCCTGCCTTGTTCACTCATATTTTGCGGGAGGTCCACATGCCATTGCCACGCATTTGTCATCTCCCGGGCTTATCCAAGTGCTTCTTCCTACATTGATTTCCATACAGAGGCTTCTAGACAAGACAGCTCCTAGCACAACCAATGAGGAGGTCATGGTGCAGCTAAATCTCTTCTTCTTAACTAATTTTCTGTGAAAAAGAAAAAGATGGAAGAAGGCCAAAAACAAAAGACAAGCAGGACAAAGGAGGGCAGTGTTTTGCATATGAATTGCATTTGGAATGTACGTGCATGAATGCAAATTTAGAAAGTATCATTGTTTAAATAGAAATATGGTACCTATTTAAATACCATGAGCAGGTGATACGTTTGCCTGCAGTTAAGGCCATGATCCAGGGTTGGTCAACCGTTCTTATGTTTCCTATTTAAACTGGAATTGGATAGATCAGCCTGACAAGCTGAGGACAAAGGAGAACATTTGGTCATCCTGGAGAAAACCTGGGAGAGCTACAAGTGAAACAGAGCCTAGCTGTGTTTTAATCATTCTGTTATTTTATTGAAATCCACCCAGAGAACCTTCGGGTTATGGGGCAGCATATAAATGCATCTAATAAAATACATAAAAATGAATAAATAGATGTCTGGACCTACTGTAAAATTCTAGGAATGGGGCAGGCTGGATGCACAACAAAAGGGCCCTCTGGAAATAGGGATGGATAGATATGAAATCCATTCTGTTTATATTTGGCAGATTGCCAATTTTTTTGCTCCAATGTCTGCTCATGGACAGAACTGGAATTCAGGTAGGGATACGTGAAGAATTAGTTCTACTAGTGCTAATAAACATTAGCACAAGAGAGAAATTGCACAATCCCATCCCCAAAGTAAAACAAAATCAAAAACCCTGCAAGTCCATGGAATCCACACAACCTGGTAAAACCACTCCACTGCAGAATTGGCAAGTCAAACTCATAAAAATCCAAATTCATTTGAATCTATTGCAAATTTCTTCCATCTGGAAGTACTCAGAAAGCCCATCTTTTCTGAAGGACAGACAAGCTGCAACATCTCTGCTTTAAAAAGTATTACATGATAATGACAATTAATGAAAACTACCTGGGTTCTGCCATTTTAGCAAAGTATCCCCACACACAAGCACATCCATACACAACACTAAATAATTGTAATCTAAAGTTCTGATTCAAAACATACGTTGAACATTTTGTTTGTGGTGGGGAGGTTTTTTTTTCCTTGTTAAGTAAGGGTCATGGTCTGAAATTCAGCTGCTCAGAGTTGTCCCCCAATGCTGCAGAATTTGAGTTTCTTCTTCCCCACTCACAGGAGCTGTGTCATGACATGGGACAAGGCAGCACCTCAGGTGGGAGACTGGAAGAGCAGTGCATGTCTGTCTGTCTGTCTGTCACTGTACCATGTAGTGCCCCATCCGCATAGGCTCTCACAGCTCCCCCTGTGCCCATTGAAAGCACCTCCAAAATAGGCAGCGGGGTGGAAGAAGAGGTGTCCTGGGGGACTGCCTTCAGTGGAAAGGGCTTCAGAGCACCCACCACAGCCACGCTGGCAAGGCAGGAGTGTGGGGTGTGCACCAGCAAGGAATGGGTCTGTAGGAGTGGGATCTGTTGGAACAGGGTAGGAGGATGCCTGGCACAACTAATGAAGAGGCAGCAAGAGCAGGTGCGGCATGTGAGAGCAGCAGCAGCAGCAGCAGCAGCCGCTGCATGGGTGGAACAGAGTGGGGTGAATTCAATCACAGGTAACTAAACTCAAAGCTGGGCTTCCACAGGGGGTGGCTGAGGCCCCATTGGGGAGGGTGTTCAAAGACAGGCTGGACATGCACATGGTGGGCATGTCGTGAGTGGAGCCGGCTGCAGCCGGGGGTCAGACTAGATGGCCTGGGAGGCCCCTTCTGACTCGCTCCGCCTCTACGTTTCTATGTTACCAAGTCCAAGGGAAAGACCAAGTCAACTGCCATTCCACCTGCAATAGAAAAGCAATGCTTTCCCGTAGTTACAGTGGAACTGTAATGATTCAACAGCAATGGTTTATTAGCACGGCAGCTAATAAATCATTGCTTTTATGGCACAATTGCCCTGTCTTATTAACAGAATTCTTCAAGGTGTTCAGGCATTCTCCTCATTAAGGGTACAGGCCAGTCGATCACTGGAGACGGACTTTCTGATTGCACCACAACCTGCAGCAACCCAGGAGCGGGTTCCCTGCATGGTGGCCTGCTCGCCTTGTGCAACGCAGGAGGCACCTGTGTGGCCCATTTTAGGGGCCTGTTAAAACTGCGCCTTTCCACACAGGCTTTCCCTGACTGATCACGCTCTCCAGTTTGTTGAGTCCTAGCTCCTTAATTTAAAACGTTTTAACTCTAACGTATGTCATTAAATGTCTTTAAAGGAGAAGTTTTGCGTTTTCTGTTTTCAAAGATTTTAGCTGTGGATATTTTCTATTTCAGTTGCTTTGCTTTGTAGAAGAACCAGGTGGAGAAATTAGCATTAGAGGGATTTCCTTGCAAATGCTGTTGCTGGATAGTGCAGCACGATCTACATATTTGTGCTCAGAAATCCCGCTGTGCTCTGTGCAGCTTGCTTACTCCTTGCTACCAGTGCTTAGGCTTGCCGTCTCCATGACAGTTTTCTTTAGCCACTAGGAGGCGCTCGCATTTTTGACCGAGCATGCTTAAAACAAATGGAAGATTGCCCAGAAAAGAAATGGCAAGATTTGCATATTAAGGGCGACATCCTTAACCGCAGTGTAACACTTGCAGGCTGAAGGAAATGGCCAAAAACACCCAGGACTTGAGCTTCGGTGTCCATAACACTGCTTATTGTTTTGCTCTTGGCCACGTTAATAGAGAAATGTAGGCACTGTGCTTCCTACATTCGGACTATGAACCCTAGGCCAGTTACTTAAAAGCAAGTAGCACAAGACAACATTTGGAAGGCTCTGCTTAGTATGATTAACTGGGGAAAATCCTTCATTGCTTAAGGCAGAATTCAGTCGGAGTTGGGACTTCCTGGAGAAACTGTTGCACCGGCCATATGCATCCTCTTAGCTATGTGACCCTCCTGTCCAGCTCTGGTACAGCCTGATCTCAGTGGGGTTATTGCGAAACACTAATGGACAAGTGGCAACAGTGGGAAATACTTTGTTCCAAGTGTTCAGAATGTACTTTGAGTCATAGCTCCTCTATGACAAGGAGAAGTAACATGGGTTTGGTCTGATGTAGCATACCTTCTGTCTATGCTCAATTTGGGCTAAGCTGGGTGAGCCGGGGGCCGGGGGGGGGGGGGGGAATGGAATTCAGTCAGCTCTAAGGGTGCTTCCAGACGAGGTTTATCATGTGAAAGCACCCTGCTTCATTCAGAGGGGTTGATATGTCCTCCTGTGATTTATTTATTTGCTTTCTATCCCATCTTTTTTCTTTTAAAAAACTCAAAGTGGCTCACATCATTCTCCTCCTCCTGCCCTCAGTCTTATCCCCACAACAACAACCCTGTGAGGTAGGCTGGGCTGAGAGCTTGTGTCTGGCACAGAGTCACCTAGTTGGCCCCATGGCCGAGCGGGGACTCAAACCCAGATCGCCTGAGTCCTGGTTATGTGCTCTTATCTGCTACGCCACATTACCCACTTGTAAACTCCCTGTATTCTCCCAGCACTTCTTCAGTCTTTTTCCCTTTCACAAAAAATCAGTTCAGGAAGGATAGATAAAAAAGCTACATGAAGACAGACTTCTTGCTGCCAGTGCTGGGACGGGGCTCTACAAACTGTCCCTTTGCATGCTCCTTGCATGGCTTGCAAAGCCGACAGCCCACTTTCTCCTGCAGCTGTGTGCATCAGCTGGGCTGCAAGGAAAATGCTGCTTCCCAGATTCTGAAATCCCTGATTTGCCATTGCTAGAAATGTTGGAGAAGCAGCCTTCTGAACAAAAAACACAGGTTGGTAGAGAAGATTATCTCTGCACATACCCCAGTGATTCCCAGAGATTTAGGGGAGTGCAAGTGTGCATATTTGTATGAGTGAGTGCACACACATGTGCAGTTGCTGCCCTCACACTAGGAGTTCTTGTCTGGAAGCACCCTGTTACACAATAAGTTCTGCTTACAATAGCTAGGATTTCAAATAGCTTTTTCATTTAACGACATGAAGAAGAAGGAGAGTGATTCAGGATACAGCATACGAGAGCTGAAAAAGGTAAGCACCCTCCTCCAGGCAAATTTGCAAATCTCTCGCTGCTGTTGCTTATGGTACAGATTGCCCAAAGTCCTTCTTTGCTAAGTCAGCCTGGCAAAGTTTTGCACTGCAGAGGGCAATTCAAGAGGCAATTCCACTCTCTTTTTGTGGTGTTTTGGCAAGCAAAGTTTTACCATTTACAGTGAGCTTGTGCTGGTGACCTTCGTCCAGTTTATGTTTCCTTGTTTAAGCTGCTGCCATTCATTCCCCCTCCAAAATCTCAAAACTTCACATTTTGATTTTCCAGCTGCCTGTTTGTTGATTTAGAAATACAAGAGGGGCTTCCCGGGAAAGATCTCCCCATGATTAATGGAAAAAATAATCAGAAAATAGAAGCAAAAGCAGGATTTCTGGTTTTGACAATATGGCACATGAAACACCTGCTTTTCTGAATAAAAGGCCATTAATGTAAAGCCCTTCTCCAAATACATCAAGTCTGCATTAAGGTTAGCCATGACTTACCTTCAGATATGCTTTGAGCTATCACAGTTCCAAACATGATGAGGAGGATAGTTAAATTCATGCTTTCCCAGTTGCTGGAGGCTTTAGAACTGATCAGCAATGATAGAGAAAGAACCAAGGAGAAAGTAATTACCACCTCCTTGGCCGTAGAGGAACAAAGGAAGCTCAGAGCCCCACCCCTAGCAAAGTACACACAAACAACCCAAAGCCCATTAAAGATTCCTGGACTCCCTTTCAGTCTTCACCTCTGCAGTAGAAAGGAAACATCCCTGTAAGCCCCACATGGCCTCCTCTGAAGGTTGCCTGCAGGATCTCAGACTTCCCAGGGTCTCAGAGAGAGGAGCTGCACCCAGCTCCCTTTCCCTGATGCCATTGTCAAACTGGAGACGGCACGGGTGGCCTTTGGCATGCAAACGGGTGCTCTTCCACTGGGTGAGTGGCGGCTGGTGCCTACAGGTGTTGGTGGGGCGTGTCGTGGGTGCCCAGAGCTGGAGCCCGTGACATCCAGCCCACCACCCAGCCTCCACTCTTCAAAAGGCCGTGAGGCCTTATAAGGAATGTATTGCAGACACAGTAGGATGCAGCATGCAGAAAAGCTGAGGGAGGGGTGCAGAATCTGTCTGGTAATGCAGAGTCCATCTACTGCAGCATCGCATTCCCACAATGGCCAGCCAGTGCCCACAGGGAACCCAGAAGCAGGACAAGAGCTCACCCCCACCCTGCTGTCCGTGATCAGCAGGTGTACATCCATATACTGCCTCTAATACACTGAAGGCAGCCATTGATAACATGCTCCTCCATGAATTTGTCCAGTATTTTTAATCCAGGTCAGCCGGGAAGGGCCTTTTTGGTGGTTTATTTATGGAATATGCTCGGCACACTCATTGTTATCTTTTTGGTGCCAGGCAAAGGCATTTTTATTCTCCAGAAATATTAAGAACTGCTGATTTCCTATTTTATTTTTTAAAGGAATTTTAATGATTCCTCTATCACTGCTGTGACTCAGGTAATTTTACTGACTGCTATAATTATCTGCCACCATGTACCGTTATTGTATGTTATTGAATTAACTTTATGGCTGGTTCTTTTTTGTTGATATATTTGTTCTGGACTGGAGAGGGCTGTAGGGTAAATAAAAGGTTTTGGCCTTGTGCCAAAATGAATACTGTGTCAGCATCACTCAGTGGAGAAAGTTCCAGAGCTGGGATGTTTCCACAGAAAAGGCCCCTCTCCAGGTAGCCACTCTTCTGATCTCCTTCAAGGAGGGCTCCCAAAGAAGGCTCTCAGAGGAAGATCTTAAGACTGGGGCTGGTATATATGGAAGGAGACTCTTCTTCAGATATCCAGGCCCTAAACTATTAAGGGCTTTGTATGTCAAAGTTAACACCTTAAATTGGACCCAGACTTCAGCTGGTAGCAGCTTTTGATACCATCAACCATGGTATCCTTCTGGATAGGCTGGCCATGTCTACCTGACTGCCTGATTCCAGAAGGTGCTGCTGGGGGATTATGGCTCCGTGCAATGGCAGCTTTTCCATGGAGTTCTGCAGGGTTCCATTCTATCCCCCATGCTTTTCAACATCTACATGAAACCAATGGATTTGGTTTCCAAGGATTTGGGCTGCGGAGTCATCAGTACACTCTGCCTGTCTTTTGCATCCAGTCTAGGTGAGGCAGCGGCTATCCTTAACTGGTGTCTGGCCGGGGTCATGGGCTGGATGAGGGCCACTAAATTCAGGCTTAATCCAGACAAGATGGAGACCCTGTTGGTGGATGGTTTAGCCTTCTGGGTAAGTGATTTTAGCACTGTTCTGGATGGGGTTGTACTCCCACTAAAGGATAGGCTATGCAGGTTGGGAGTGCTCCTCTCTCTACCCAGAGCTGTCCCTGGAGTCCCAGGTGGCCCCTGTGGCGAGGAGCACTTTTCTTCAGCTTTGGCTGATCTACCAACCATGCCCTTACCTGGATGAGCACTGCCTCGCAATAGTGACCCATGCTCTGGTAACTTCCCAATTGCATTATTGCAATGTGCTCTGTGTGGGGCTGCCCTTGAAGATGGTCCAGATTCTTCAGTTGGTTCAGACTAGAGCTGCCAGGAGGTTAACAGGGACCAGCTGGTATGACCACGTAACGCTGGTCCTCTTCCGTCTACACTGGCTGCCAACTGAATCTGGGCCCAATCTGAGGTGCTGGTGATGACCTATAAAGCCCTAAACAGCTTAGGACCTGGATACCTGAAGGGGGGGGGCTCCTTCCCTATGTGCCTTCTCACCCCTTAAGATCTGGGGCAGAGGCCCTTCTCTGGGCTCCCTCCTAGAAGGAGATTAGGAGGGTGGTTACCCAGAGAAGGGCCTTCTCCGTAGTAGCGCCTCCAAGAGGTTCACCTGGCACCAATGCTTTGTTCCTTTTGGCACCAGGCAAAACCCTTTTCATTTTCCATTATCTTAATGTTTAATAGATTTAAATATGGGCTTTATTATCCTGGAATAATTGGATACTGTGCTCCATTTCATTTTATGTTGCTTTTATTGTAAAACCATCCCAAAACACTACTGGTAGGACGGTATATAAAAGCAATAAACAAACAAACAAACCATGTACCCTGTCCCTTATGGGGAGTGCAAACCCATCCAGAACAGGGCAAAGATCACTTATCTGGAAAGCTGAACCACACACCAAGGGAACCTCTGTCTTATCTGGATTAAGTCTCAATTTATTGGCCTTTATTCAGTCTATCACACTGGCCACTGATTCAAGACAGTCACTGCCTCACCTGGATCAGATGTAAAAGAAAGGTAGAGCCAGGTGTCGTCATGGTCCTGGTGACACCTCGGTTCAAACCTTCTAGATGATTTCATATAGATGTTAAATAGCACAGGGGATACATGGTGTCCCCATGCCTTTTGGCTGCTTCGCGTATTTTACCAAGGGGATGTGATAAACATGCACATGAGACTCCCTGATTCTGCCTAGCCTAAAGTATTATTTTGTGCATGCTGCCCGGAAGAGAAAGGATGCTGTACCTGCTGAACTCATTGCTGGACATAATGTGCCCAGTAAGGTGGAACAGGAAATGGCATCCAGTTTCCTGTGGAACATGCCCACCACCCAATGGCCTGATTGGTGGGAGGGGGGCTGCAATTTTCCACCCTTTTTGTTTTCTCCAGAGCAGTGATTTTACTGAGCAGTGTGTGGGTGTGAGAGAAAATATTTCCTCTTATGTCAACGAGCAAGATGGCACTGACAGACGATCTGCCTGCTGCCATCTTTCCTGCTTCTCTGCTGTGGCTGTGCAAAGAGAAGAGAAAGGAGAGTATGCAAAAAGGAGATCACTCTGAGCTGTACAAGATTTGGTCTCCAAGAGATCTGCAGTTCCAGCTATAGATCTACAGCAGTGCTTATAGTCAGTGCTTTCTTCCAGGAGGTCTGAGACGGGGGGGTTGGCACAGGAAGGTCACAGGTGGGACTCCAACCCACTGATGGTCTGTATGTGGCAGTCACACACCTGAGGTCTCATTTGGCCCTTTACAGGAATCCGGTCTCTCAATGTGCTGTACACAGACTGGAGCATGTAGTGCCTGTGCGAAGACAACACCACCACCATTATCTGTGCTCTGGTCACCTCCAGACTAGACCACTGCATTCATTGCTCATGGAACTGCCTTTGAAGACTTCTGGAGAACTATGGCTGGTTCAGAATCAAAGCTGCTTAAGCGGCTAGCAGGGACCAGCAAGATTGCTTGGCCTAAAGGTGGGGAGGGGCTAAAATCAGGTAGCACAAAGTGGGAAAATAGGCAGGAGGGCCAAATGCTTTCTGGTTGTTTATTGACAAGCTTGGCAGAACAAAATGAGCCTATTGTAGCCCACTGGGGACAGGTCTGAATTGGGAAGAAGGGCCGGTATTGGAGCAGCTTGGAGTAGGTAGGCGGGAAAGATTGTAAACTCCCGGTACCCCAGCCAATGAGGGGAAAGGAGGGGGGAAGAAGCAGCCGGGAGCAGGGTTCAAAAGGAGGATGTGAACGTGTGCTCAGGTGAACAGGAAAATGGGAAGGAAACTATTTTTTTCTGTTCCCTTTGTTGCAATAACGTTTTAAAAAGAACTCTCTGCATGCTTGGAATATTTTTCTCTTCCTACGGAAAGGAAAGAGCGTTCTTAACAGTGTCGAATCCTATGTCTTTCCCATGCCAGGGAAATTTTGTTTGCTCAAGCTTTTGAATTTTAAATTTTTAAATTTTTTAAATGAGTGCTTTAGTTGTTTTATTATTTGTGTTGTTGTCCTGTGTTTCTAATACTTGGTATTCATTTTTATCCTAGTTTTGAAGACATATCAAAACTCCAGAGCAGAGGAAAAAAGAGGGCACTGCACTGCAGTGCAGAAAAACGAGCATATGCTGATTTAAAGGCAGGGATGTAGATGCAGCCACCAGGACCCTGCTAAAACGAAGTGTGGTGCATCTGCCTCATCAGGGCGTGGAAAGCGGAGAGCAGGTGACTGGTGCGTGCTGCTCAGCCTGCTGCCCAAGGGCCAGCCGCTGTGAGCCATGTCAGGGCCTGTAGGGTTTCCTCGAATGGGTCTGCCGAGGAGACTCCCAAGGCAGAAGAGTGTGGGCATCCTATGTTCATGGGAGCTGTAGTTTGACTCCTGCAGAGGAGACCAGGTTGGGGTGGCTGCAGTCTTATTCTTAATTCTTTTCATGTAGGCTCCATGCTTGTCCAGATATCTTTGAAATTCTAAATTCAAATGGAAAGCTGTTTGAGGACACAATCCTATGCACATGCAGGCAGGAAAAATGTCCTAAGATTCCCAGCATGCCCCAGCCAGCCTGGCTTCCATGCTGGGGCATACTGGGAGTTGCAGAGCTTCTTCCTTTCTATCTAGCCATGCATGGGATTGAACGCTACGTATTAATATATGGATGAATGCACACATTTTCCAAGCTGAGAAAAGATCAAGGACACTCCCTCTTCAGTGTGAGCTTCAAGGAAGTTACTGGTAATGTTGACAGTACATTCATGCAAAGCAAGCCAGCGAGCTATTACAAGGGGCACTTGTGTCCTAGCTCTGCTGCACACAAGGATGGATGAATGGGGATCTTTGCTGAATTGATCTGTGCTAAGTTCAGATTTTCTAACTGGCCTTCTTCCCCTTTGCATGAT